ATCTCACGACCCGACGATGGGCATAGCTCTTTCCACGTCCTCGTACGCAGTGCGAACACCATGCCCTGAACGGAATATGACTAACTGCATGAGCTTCGATTTCTTCCGGGCTTGGAAGGCAGGGTGCTCTAATTGGCTTCGCCTTCCTGCCTTCTTCTGGTTCAACCACTGGTTGTCCATCCTCTAAATCTCCGAAAATCCAATCTTCGAAGAAATCATCATCGACTTCGGCCTCACCATCCAAAGGGGCCGTATGTCCAATAGGTTCCTGGGGGCTCGAGCCGACGCGGCTCTGCACCCCCGAAGCGGGACCGGAGCTGAAGCAGCTCTCGGTCCTCTGCTTAGAGTTTGGTCTTACAGGCAACTGTGGCCCTGCCCGCTGAAAGGGCTGGACCTCTTTGACACTTTTGCAGAGTCTATCCATACTGGTAGAACATAGACGCCATTTCGCTGAAAGATCCGGTGAATACCTCCACTCTTGGTCTCGAGGTAACTGACCTTTGGGGATAGGACAACTTTGTTTCCTTGGTTGACCATCTGACCAACTGAGATGAGAGGTTGTGAGATGTTGGCAACAGCCATTCTCATTGCGACCTCCTCGTTGCCCATAAGCCACGCCTTGGCTACCAATGTGCCCTCATTCGGCACAAGGCTCCCATTGGCCAACCTGAAACTGTGATACCCCACGGACTCACCAAGCTTCACCTTGCCCACCAATTCCTTGGGAATGGTGCTTGCACTTGCACCGGAGTCGATGACGAAGTCGATCCGTGTCCAACCAGGGTATTTCTCTGAAGAGTTGTCACCGTGACCAGAAAAGGAAGTCAAGTGGCCAATGCCTCCAGGTCCACCGGTCTTCTTCTCCTTTAGTCGTTGCTCTCTGCGTCTTTCTCTCTTGTGCTTAGCCTTCTTCTGCTGTGAGGTCTTCTTCCTTGCCGACGGCGGAAGTTGCTTTGTTCGTGCCGTAGGCGGCGGCAACTCAAGGAAAGCCGTTTCCTCTTCCTCAAGCAATGCTGTCCTCGCCTTCTTGGACAATGGTGCTGCTTGGACTTCATTTGCCAAGACTCCTTCAGCTAAGGGGAAAACTTGCACCTTTCGACCAGTGCCAGGCCGATTGAAGCGTCGATGCCACTCGTCTTCTCTTTCAAGCCTTTCCTCAGTCCTTTCAGCCTGACCGGCCAACCTATGACTGGCTGCACGTTTCCTTGACCTTTCCTTGACGTAAGCTAAACGACGTCCCAAGGCTTCATTGTCTCGCTCCTGTCTTGCAGAATGGCCTTCTCGATTCTTTCTTCGAAAGGCTCTCTGCTCGCCTTTGAGACCTTCAATTTCAAGTTCCAGATCTGCAACGTGGTTCAAGACGGCCTCATCATGTGCTCCTTTGTCATCCAAGGATTGACGGAGTACCTCTAGTTCATCAATCCTCTTCGATATCAGCTCTCCTAGGACAATAGGCCTTGAAGCGTTGTTCACTTGGTACGGCGCTGCCTTGGAGGATGAAGAGCCACCGGCACGACTCTCACCCTGGGTCTTCGCTTGCCTCTTGTGTAGCGGGACGTATTTTGCACCTAAAGCACCCGTCGCTTCAGAGATCTGTTCCGATCTCCTCTTGTGGGGTGGAAGGTACTTCTCAACTTGCTCCGGCTCCTTAGCAGGAACCATGTTCTCCTCCACTGCCACTGGTGCTAGCTCTGTTCGGCCACGTCGTCTAGGAATCGGAGATCTAAGGCGATTTGGGGTCTTAGGAACACGTGGCGAAGCAGGTACTGAAGCAGTACTCTCCTTCCCAAGGTCCTCAACGACGTCAACCTCGTAGACAGACTGCACGCTCGTCACTGTCTCCGCTTCAGACTCTCCTCCTTCTTGTGCCTCGTCAACCATCTTTTCCTCCTTGCTTGGCTCGGATCCCGCGTCCGAGTGAGCTTGCACCTCTGACAATACTTCGTCCTCCGATCTTTCTCCTGCTTCGTGCCTTCCTTCTGTTGCTTCTTCAGCTTCTGCTTCTTCTGAACCTTGCTCGGACTCAGGGGTCTGGTCGTGTTTCGAGTAGTCAGGTTCCCTTGGAAGGTAAATCCAAGTAGGCTTCTCATCGTCACAGTGGCCCGGCTTGCGCAATGCAATTTCTTCTTCAGGAAATTCAGGTCTTATATAGTTGCCACGTTTGGCTTCAGCTTCCCAAGCTGCCCACTGTCGGTCATACGGGTGGCCCGGACAGTGCAGTTTACTACCCAAGTGACGTTCCAGATCCTTCACAGTCTTAAAAGTCTTTTGACGTCCTCCACAACCAGGCACTGGGCAACGATAACCAGGGCCAGCACCATACCGATCCTTCCTACACTCTGCCATGGCCACATCCTTGGGTCTGGACCAGAACCATGACAAGACTCCAAACTCAGGACGAACAATGGTCCTTCGAGTTTCTCGGCCCATAGGCGTGGGAGTCCGAGCTGAAGCAGCTCTGGGCTCCCGATGGGCCCGTGCTGAAACAGCACTGGATCCACCAACCACGCAGACAAGACCCAAGTCGCTCTCAGTCTCTGAGTCTGTCCTCCCTGGCCATTCCTGCGCACAAGCCTCTTCATCTTTCTTGTCTACAAGCCTCTGAGCACCGCATTCTCCACCATGGGAAGGTTTGCCAACTTCCTTTGAGCCTTCTTTGCAGAGCTGATTGGCTGATGGTAATCCACCGTCCTGTTGGGAGCAGTCATTTGCCTCTACACGATCTTCCGAGATCACTTCTTGGGATACCTCCGCTTCTTCCTGCCATCGTCTTGCAATGTTTCCCAGGTCTGCTTGGAATCTTCTGGCCTGATCTTGTAGGCCACGCTCCAGCGACTCAAACTTCTGTCGTGCACTGTGTGCCACTTGAGCCATTCCAGCTTGCATTGCATGCCACGCTTGCCCAAGGGGAAGTTCTAAGGCTGTGGTACCTGGTCCAAGTCTTGCTGTCCCTCTTCCTCCTGTTGGTGACTCCAACACCAAGTCCTGTGCCAAACTCACTTGGCCAGGGCACGAACTGAACCAGCTCTGTGCCTTTGGAGCATGTGACTCATTTCGCTTGCCAGGCGCTTCCAGCTCCCAAACCAGGAGCTCCGCTACCATGCAACGGAAATTTGGGCTCGCTAGTTCGATGCAGCCCAGCGCACCTTTTCTCCTCAGCGCTCTGCTTCAAAGGTAAACCAAAAGGGCTGCGGTACATGAACATGAATCATGCTACCTAAGAGGAACAGATCCTAGGTACACCCTATACACCAACACATATATATATATATTTTTTAATATAGAACTATGCTTGCTTTCTTTGTACATCTTCCCAGAGTGTAGGTCAATAGCTGAATCTAAAAGGTTGAAGGACATACTGAGATACCCTACATACCCTACAATATGCTTCCGAAAGTGGTTTCCCTACGTCCGACTGAAAAAATGGGTTGACATGGCTTCACCCTCCCATTGCCGCAGGACACCGAGCTGCAAGGGCCTTGAGGCCTACATTGAAGGCTGCTAAACCTCCCGCGGCAGCTGGAAAAGAACCCTTACCCGTCGTACCCGTACCCATTTGGCTTTTTGATTTGAAGGATTTGTGTGATCATTGTGACCGTTACATCCCGTTACGATGTGATGTGATTACACAACCTGCCACGGGAGCACCATGCTCTCAAGAGGCACCATCTCTTGGCCATCCAACATCCAGTTCTGTGCCTCAGCCGCTGGATCAAGGAGTTGAAGTGACAGAAGCAAGCGCCAAACAAGTTAGAAACTGTTATATATATATTTTGAAGCAGCACCATGTCACTTGCAGCTCAGGGATCACTTGCACCAATCGAGGCAACATCCGTTCCATCTGTAGCCAACTTTCATTGCTCAGGCGTGCAAAACAAGGAAGGCGGCTTTTGTGGGCCCAGGGGGGCCAAAGGTTCCGTGGAGCTACCAAACTGGTAGCGGAGCCCCAATAGGGGGTCTCCGGATACCTAGGAAGGTATAGGAGGTGAAGCAGCGCCATGGCTGACGTTAAGTCAGATAGCGGCGGTGGACAATTCAAGAGGTTCTCAGGAGAGAGCTTGGATGGGAAAGAACTGAAGAAATGGAAGCTATGGGCTCAGGCCAAAATGGCCGCAACCAAAGACCTGAGTGAAAAACAGCGGGGTCCTTGGGTGTTCACTCTCCTGGACGGCTTGGCCTTGGAGACGGTGGAGCATTTGACCTTAGAACAACTGACTGAGGTAGGCGGTGATCAATACGTGTGGAACGCCCTGGAAGAACGTTTTCCAGACAAACTGAAACACGATCACTTAGCAGAATGTCTTCACGAAGTTTTCCAGTTAGCTGCAAAAGAAGGTGAAAACATGGCTAGCTGGTGCAGCAGAGTGCAGGAGACGTTTGCCAAATGCCGTAGGAAAGTGGATGTGGAGTTTCCATCAGAAGCCAGAGGCTGGATAGCTCTCAACCAGTCTGGGTTGAGCCACGATCAGCGGGCCGTTGTGACGGCTAGGTCCGGTGGCGAGCTCAAGTTTGACGTGGTGACAGCAAGTTTGAGATCATGCTATCCAGAGTTTCAGGTGCCGAGCAGGGCCAAGCGCAGCAATCCTGTCATGTTGGTTCAAAACTCTGAAGCTGAAACAGCAGAAGACTTCTCAGATGTCGGCGACCAAGTGGTTTTTTCTGAGGTGGAGGCTCTTCTGGCCGAATATGGAGTACAAGACACAGAAAACTCAGAACAGGAGGTGTTTGAAGAATCTGAGGCAGTCGAAATTCTAGCTGCAACATGGAAGGAGAAGCGTGCTGAGATCAACAGATTGCAGAAGAGTAGGAATTTCAAACAAGTTGCCACTGTTCAGAAACAGTTTCGCCAAGATGTGACAGATGTTAAGCGCAGGGCTCGATGCTGGAGGTGCCAACAAGTGGGACATTTCTCCAGGGACTGTCCAAAACCCAAGGGTTATGGCAAGGGTAGCAGCACGTCCAACTCTGGGGAGAAGTCGTCCTCAGCTTCTGGAGCAGCAATGGTGGAAGACTTTGTTCCATGTGATCCCAATAGTTCCGAAGTGTATCTGGTCTCTTCACCAGGTTTTGGTATCATCGACAGTGGGTGTGGCAAAACCTTGATAGGACAGAGCACCTTGAATGCACTGTTCCGCCAGTATGCGGAGATTGGACGACAGTTGCCAGAGCTTCGGAGAGAAGAGCACCTGTTTCGCTTTGGGAATCAGAACGAGGAACTGGCTCAATATGCGGTCACCCTTCCCATTGGCATCGGAGGTCGTGGAGGTCAAGTGGATGCCTCAGTGATCAAGGGCACGGCTCCTCTTTTGCTGAGCAGGAGCACCATGCGCAGTTTGGGGGCAGTCCTAGACTTTCAGAAAGAAACGCTTTCTCTCTCCGGCGCAAAACCAGAAAGGTTGAAAACAAATGCAGCGGGGCAGTATATCATCAGTATCATGGATTTCCCAGCAAACAGTGGACCTGTCGGTGGTACAGAAGTCCCTACTTTGGGGGTGCCAACCAAAGCCTTGTCCAAGCGTGAAGCTCGGGTTTTAGAGTCTTTGGCTGCGGCATGGCAAAAGGGTAACTCCAAGTGCGTAGTGGCAGAGCTTTTCTCACCACCACGTTTCACCACTGAAGCGGAACGTCAGGGTCTTACTGGGTTGAGTTTTGATTTGAAAAATGGATACAACTTGCTGGATAGAAGAACACAGCGAGAAGTAGAGGCTCAACTGGATGAGGTACGACCTGAACTGTTGGTATTGTGTCCAGAGTGCAAGCATTGGGGAGGTTGGTATCGACTCAATGAACACAAGCTTCCAAACTGGAAGAGAGTGTGGAACCGCAATGTGGCCGAACGCCAAGTGGAATTCTGCATAGCTCAAGCCAAGCGTCAGTTGAGACGCGGGGGGCGCGTTCTGTTCGAGCATCCGTGGTCATCAGGTGTTTGGAATCATCCACCCATGGCCAAACTTCTCAAGAGCATGCACCTGTGTAAAGCATCCATGTGCGCCTATGGCCTGAAGAACCCCGACAACGGCTTGCCGATCCTGAAGCCAACAGGACTCGCCGTATCACATGAGGACATGGTAGGTTTAGCACAGACATGCCCAGGACATGATGTACACCATACCATAGCCGGAAAACTTAATGATGGGTCGTCCTTGAGTGAGTGGACAGCAGCCTATACTCAACAGTTCTGCCAGCATTGGTTGTCATGTGTCACGAGTGTTTGCCATCTGTGTGATCACGCTGCGGTTGAGGACAACTTCTCAACTTTCAACCTTACTGAGAGCGTTGTAGGAGAGTCTTCCGAAGCCCTTGCAGCCGAAGCCACCACACCAGAGCAGATTCGTATGTCGCTGAAACGTTTGCACAATAATTTGGGGCATCCTAGTAACCAAGACTTAGTAAGGGTTCTTACTAATGCTGGGGGTTCCAAAGAAGCCATCGAAGAAGCCAAGAAGTACAGTTGTGAGGTTTGCATTCAGCGCCAGCGACCGACTCCGTCTCTGCCCGTGTCAGCTCACCAGATTTTGGACTTTGGACACAGGGTAGGACTGGACGTGAAGATACTTCCAGGCGGGACTCAAAATCAGAAGGTGAAGTGTTTGAACATTGTTGACTACGGGTCTAGTTTTCAAGTCATGTGCCCCTTTTATGAAAATGAAACCGGTCCTATCCTGAAACGACTCTTCGATGAGAACTGGTTGCAATGGGCCGGTCGACCGGTCGAGATCATCGTGGATCCAGCTCAGACCAATTTATCTGAAGCGTTTGCAGGTGCTCAGGAGCAATCAGGCATTCGAGTTCTCAGCATTGCAGCCGAGGCACATAATCAGCTAGGCAAGGTTGAGAAACATGGTCATTTGTTTGAAGTGATTCTCCAAAAGGTCTTAGACTCAGTGCAGCCTAGTTCCAAAGAGGAATACCACCAGTGCATTCGTGAAACCATGAATAGCAAGAATGAATCCCTCAATCATCATGGCCTCAGCCCTTGTCAACATGTGTTCGGTAGGAATCCCAGGGTACCCGAAGACCTGATTCAGGAATCTCCGTGCGTGATTGCCGCGACAGCACCGTTGCACAGTGAAATGCATGCGAGAAGTCATGCCATCCGAACTGCAGCCCGAGTTTCCATGGCACAGTCTCAAGATTCGAAAGCCTTGCGAGTGGCTTTGAATGCACGGCCAAGGGTTGAGCGTGACTTCCTGCCAGGGGACTTCGTAGCTTACTGGCGTACTCAGAAATATGAGAGAGGAGCCAGATTAGTTGGGGGTAGATGGTTCGGTACTGCAATTGTCATGGGTAAAGTGGGGCGTAACATTTTTAGTGTACCATAGACGCAACATGTTCAAAGTCTCCCCAGAACACCTGAGACATGCCACGTTGGAAGAACGAGCAGTAGCTCAGTCAGATGGTAGAGAGATGCTAGGGATTGCACAGTACGTTGGAGAAAATGGATCCCTCCGAGGAAGTCACTATGTGGACCTTACCCAGCAGGGATCACGTGAAGGTCCTGACAATTCAGCTGTAGCAAGACCGACAGCCGAGCATGAGCCTAGCCAGGCCAATCCTGCTCTGTCTCCTGCCAGCGTCCCGGCTCAGTCCGCCAGTCCGGACAACATGGACATTGTAGCTCCCGGTGAAATCATAGACAAAAGCCCTGCTGAGCCGGAATCCTCAGGTGGAGACAGCTCCAGTAGCAATCCTTTAACTGCAGCATCCTTTTCGGCAAGACAAGAACCTGGTTCTCAAAGTGCCTATGGTCCAGTTAGACATAGGCATCATGGAAAGAAACCTGAACCAATGACCACAGTGTGGCGTCCGGCCGAACTGGTGCCATCAGATTTTATGGAAGCCCATCAGGAGATCACGTCTCACAAGCGCCAGCCCAGTCGAGCTTTGAGTAGCGAGCCACCGTGCAAATCCAGCAGATCAGAGCCAGATCCGAGAGACGAAGCTCTCTTGTGTGAGGCAAAAGAGCATGATGAAGTGTTTCTCGTCACAGAGCAGCAAGGGGAATCCGCTGAAGTTTTTGTTGCAAATTTTCTCAAAAAGAAGTTGCAAACAGAACTCCATCACTCCAATAATCCAACTGACCTTCAGGAAGCTATCGACGAGGCAAAAGTGATAGAGTGGCTGACTCTTCAGGATGAGAAACGAGCCCTGCATGTAGTTCCTCCGCATCAGGCACGTAGCATCCGCAGACACCAAAGCCATAGAATCATGTCAAGTCGTTTTGTTATCACTAAGAAAACTGAGGACGGTGATTCCAAGATCAAGGCCAGGTGGTGTCTACGGGGTCATCACGATCCAGACCTTATCCAAAAAGTGTTGGCTGGAAAGTGTCACTCACCTACGTTGTCACAGCTGGCCCGAAACCTGCTCCTGCAGCTCATTGTCAGCCACCAGTGGACCATGAAACTTGGGGATATCAAAGGTGCTTTTCTAGAAGCTGATGTCCAGAAGCAAATGGCCGACAATCCAGTGTATGCAGAGTTGCCACCAGGAGGGGTTCCAGGCGTTGAAAAGGGGTCCCTGATTCAAATAACTGGTAACATCTATGGAGCAAACGATGCACCCCATAATTGGTACGGTGAGTTCGATGCCGAAGCCCGTCGTGCTGGTCTCACACGCAGCAAGTTTGACAGTTGCTTGTATTTCTGCCATGGACCACAAGGGGATTTACAAGGGGTTTTGGGAGCTCACGTTGATGATACCATAACTGGGGGTCAGGGCCATGAATATGATCAAGCCATTGCCTATTTGCGCCAGAGGTTTCCTTTCAGAAAATGGAGAGAGGGTCAAGGAGAATTTCTGGGGGTCATGTACGAACAGTGTCCAAACACCAAAGAAATTACCTTTCAGCAAACCGAATATGCACAGCATATCAGGCCGATCAAGGTTTCAAGAGACCGAGCCCACACTCCATGGAAGCCAGCCACGGCAGCCGAAATGGCTTCCCTGCGCGCGGTGAATGGTGCATTGGGATGGCTGTCATCCCAGAGCCGGCCAGATTTGGCAGTTCAGACATCCATGTCCCAACAGTGCTTTCCTCAACCATGTGTTCAAGATCTACTGGCGGCCAATCAGGCCATTCGTAGAGCTCGTCAACATGCAGACATGAAGTTGCAGGTTCCCTATATTCCTCCGGAAGATCTCACAGTAGCCTTTTGGTCCGATGCAGCATTTGCAAATCACATAGATCACAAGACTCAAGGTGGTTGGTTGTTGGCTCTGACAAGTAAAGAAATGTCAAAAGGGAATGATGTTCCTTTGTCATGCTTGGGATGGAAGTCATATCGATTGCCAAGGGTTGTATCCTCCACCATGGGGGGTGAGTCTCAAAGTTTTGCAAGTGCCTCAGGAGTAGCCGAATGGTGTCTTCTGATTTTGGCCGAAGCAATAGACGGTCCTTTCAGTCTTAGGGACACAGACCAGGTGCTGAAGCGCCGCCAACCTATCGGAATGACCGACTGCCGTTCGTTGTATGATCATCTTATTTCACTTGGTACAGGTGGTTCTTTGGATGATAAGCGTACTGCAATTGATGTGGCGATAGTGAGGCAGTCGATCGCTCGAACAGGGTTGGAACCGCGCTGGTGCCCAACTGACCGAATGGCAGCCGACGGTTTGACAAAGGACAAAGGGGAGCCGCTGGACTTGCTGAGGTCAATTTTGAGATCAGGTAGGTATCAGTTGGCAGATGAACAGTTGGTGTTGGATCGAAAGAAAGAAGAAAGAGATCGTAGACGAGAAGTAGGAATGAACCGAAAACAAAATGCTGAGAAGTCTCCACAGAAACAGGCATAGACCAACCCATGCTTGCCGTCCATGTTTTTCCTGCACTCCCATGTACAGTGTTTGAAGATCAGATGGAAGCCAATGCGTGCCTCATGTATAGTCAACAGTTTTGCGAATTTAAGTGGCATAGGTATAAACCATGTGATGCATAAGAAATGGCCACTCTTTAGTAACGTGGGGCTACTAGGGGGATAAGCTAAGTTTTTGAGACTGTGGAAGTGAACACCGGATTGCCGTTTTTTTGAAATGTTCTGCCACTTGAGGTCCTGTGGTGAAGTCCTCACGGCACAAGCCTGCTCACAATCATAGTTGCTACCGTATCTCCAAGGGTTTCTGTAGTCGCAATGTCAGGTGCCTCCAAGCCCTCGGACCGCCCAGTGACTGCCGAAGAGCTTCAAATGGTTCGAGAAGTGCTTGCGCGCATGCAGGCTCAGGGCTCCTCCGGAGTGAATCCAGGCAGCACTGCCTTAGCTGCCTTGTCCTCCTTCGAGTCGAGCTCGATGCTTGCAGGCATGACTGATGCGAGCAAACGCCAAAGGGATGATGATTTGCTGTCACACCTAGGTGAGGGCCCCATGTCAGAGGAAGTGGGCTTCTCTGACGCCGGCTTCAGTGTGGTGAGCTCACCAGTGGGGAAGTACCAAAAGTCTCCGCAGATGCCCGTGGCCCCGAAGAAGACGGTGCCAGATGAGAAGATTCAGCTCCCCACCGGAATTCCCAGTTTGACAGAGTGGGGATGCACAGTATGTGAGCTTCCGCGTGTCAAGGGTGACAACAAGACTTATCATGAACTGGCCATTGACCCAGAGTACAGCAGCTATCTGAACTGGATTGTGCAGCATGGGAAAGGCAAAGGAGCCAGGTGTGAAGACTTTCGCAATTACTTGATCTTTGGCGATTTTGTGAAATCCGGTGCTTCCAGCATCACTTTCCCGGGATCTTCTGAGATCCGCAAGATCCGTTTTCCGTGAGTTTTGCATGGTAGTTTTGTGACACCAGCCTGCCAATCTCCAAATATGAAGAGGTGGAATCCTCTTGTTGATTTTTCCTAAAAGAGAAGTTTAAGGAGTTTTGAAGCAGCACCATGTCACTTGCAGCTCAGGGATCACTTGCACCAATCGAGGCAACATCCGTTCCATCTGTAGCCAACTTTCATTGCTCAGGCGTGCAAAACAAGGAAGGCGGCTTTTGTGGGCCCAGGGGGGCCAAAGGTTCCGTGGAGCTACCAAATATATATATATATACATTTATCATTTCATGCGCCATTGTCTCCAGGAGCTACTTTGCACTTTTCATGCTGACATGCATCTTGTTTACCAGCCTCTGGTAAAAGGAAAAAACATACTGCGGGGGATCACCAACCTGAGATTAGCAGCTGGAAATCAGAATTATTTATGTGTCAATTGGGCATGTCTGACGTCCACACCAATCTTCACAAACTTGAGCCAATCATCGTAGAAGATCCTATCATGCTGCACCATTTACGGTAGTGATATCTGCGCCCTCCACACGGACGTTCGGCGATGCCACCCCAAGCCCTTATTGGGCCCGGTTGCATCACTTTGTATCATCTTATTTCAAGTAATTCCATTTGTTAGATAAAATTGATAGATATATTAGAATATATTAGATAGAAAGACCGAAAGCATGATATAAGTTGTATTTTTGTTCTATGCGTTCCCAAGTTTCAACGGGGAACAAAAGTTCCATCCGTCAGATGCGTCCCGACTGGGCTGTCCCACGCATCACCTGCAGCACTGCCGCATGCTGCGCGCCGCTGCCCAAGGAAGCAAGGACCGAGTTCAGCGCGCGTCCGCGATCGAAGTTGGGCCTTTGCAACCTGAAAATTGCAAGTTGAACAAAGGGGGTTTCCATAAATGGGGCATCCCATTTAACTAGATGGTTTATGATGGGAAAATCCTAAAGTGGACATTCAAGGGTATGCCCTTTTTAGGAAACCTCCACATGTATTCTTCATTATTTGATGTTATTTGCATTGCAAACAAATCCTAAGTCTCAGTAGCAACATGAATGTAGCATACCAATTTGGATGTTCAATCAGATCAATGAGCGGGCGACCCACCCGAAGCCCCCATTAGACCATCATCCAAGATCATCCAACCCATGGGGGGCCCATGACATGGGACGACTTCAAAAAAGAAAGTGTTGCCAAGGCGCTCGGCGGGAAAATTTTGCCACAGCTGGAGCACCTATCCAGCACAGTTTTTTGTCGAGGGCAATTCCTAGTTTTTATGTTGCATATACAGTATGTGTGCATATAATGTAATATGTAAATACTCATGAAAATCATATCTGTGTGTGAGCGTGCGCTGCATGTGGGGGTGTCTCGGCACTAGCAAATGAATATGTCTGCAAAATACTTTAAAAGATGAATCATGCACCCTTGCCTATTCCAAGAGAATTGATCAACATGTATGCTGCTCTAGTAGCTGCCTCAAAACGCGCGCTAAACCCGTCCCACTGCATCCCTCCTGTTGCCACACGGTAGCTTTGGCGCAAGCACCCAAGGCACTCCTGCGGAGTTGGCCCTGTGACACCAGTGAGACCTGAGGAAATGATTTTTTCTGCCATTGTCGTAACATGGTACTGTTGGATGGTTGAAACTCTATAAATAATGGAATAAACCACCTATCAACTGGTGCAGGATTTCCTCCATCCACCGTATGGCATGGGGTATGGTCATCCCATCGTCATTAGATTCACTAGGAAATCCTTGTATTCGAAATATAACCGCTATCAATGGTGGTATGACCATCTGCTACAGATATATAGCCCATTCTTGCTGGGCTGGCTATTCAACGGCGCCGAAAAAATGAAGGAAGCTGCATCTCATTTTGTTTCGCCATGATCATTCCCTTCAAAATCTATATAAAATCCATAAAAGCTTCATAAAATCCATATATAAAAGCCATTAAAATCCAATTTTCATTCTACCATCTGGTTATTTAACATAGCTATGGAAAATCCCTTATAAATGGAGGTTTTAATGGGAAACACATCTATAAATGGACCATTTACCACGGCTATATTAAATAACCAGAGGGTATATATAAATGGATTGCTGACCATCCCAAAAACATCCCGGCTCCCCTGCATCACCGCATCTGGCACGCCCGTGCTGCTCAGCAGCGCCAGGGCGTGGCGCCAGGCGATGGCCTCTGACCGTTGTAGTATTGAAACAACCATGGTGACTTGGGAATCCCCCATGACTTAAGAAACCCCTATAAGTCCCCCATATACATATATATATAATTATATATATCATATTTCTGTATGTTTTTCGTTACATGATATATGTATATATATATGTGTGTGTATGCATGCATGCCATGCCATGCCATGCCATGCCATGCCATGTCATGTCGTGTGATGTATGTGATGTATGTTATGTTATGTCATGTTATGTTATGTTATGTTATGTTACGTTATGTTATGTATATATGTATGTTATGTGTGTATGTTATGCATGTAGGTATGTTATGTTATGTTATGTTATGATATGTTATGTTATGTATGTTATAATGTATGTATGTAATGTAATGTAACGTAATGTATTGTAATGTAATGTAATGTAATGCAATGTAGTGCAATGTAATGTATGCATGTAATGTGTTTATTGAAGGATGAGGCGGCAAGAAATGTAAGGGGAAACGCTACATTGGAATCATTAGAGGTTTTACCGGCATGGATCTAGTTTTCTACCCAATGGTTTTAGGGATGGAAAGCATCCAGTCCGATGATTTTGTCCCGCACCAGCCCGCACCCCATTATGATTGCCTATTTTATTCTTATGTATGTTTAATAATCAACCCTAGATCTATTTTGGCTTGCAAGACCCCCAAAATTGATGAAATTGAGTGTGGATCATCGCTCCTTGTATATCCTTGGGGATGCTGCAAATAATCAGAAGATTTGGGGCCAGGTTCAATGCAAACAAAATAGAATAACTCAACAGACTCAAATATAAGAAGCAATAGATGACCAAAGATAAACAAACACAAATCAAATCTGGAGGATGTCGTCTGCAACCGTCCCCACTACCAGTCACTACCAGCATGCGCCTGGCCACATGCACTGATACATGTTGTGCAAAGACCAGGGTCCTGGACTCCGTCAAGGGCCAATGGCAATGATGGAAGGATGATGGAACCCCTCAGAAGGTCTTCCATTCCATTTTTAGGGGATTCTGCAGATTCCTTAAAGTATCCAAGGAATCCAAGGAATTACTTGCCTGTTGGGACTAGACCAGGCTGCATTTCGGGGGGAAAAGACATGTTCCCGGTGGTACCTTGACCAAATCTACCCCCCCCAAAAAAAAACATTCCAAACAAGTTGCATCCAAATACACTGGTAGATATTTATCTTAAAACTGTGACTTATCACAGAAGAAGCCAGTCCTTCGACGTGCCAACAGAGCTCAAAAGCTGTAAGGCTTCTTGCCAAGCTGTCCTGCAATCCAGTTTGGTACTGACCTTGTCGTCCACAAAACTCTGGCGGTTCAACCGCCCCTTTGCGTGTTTAGATTCCCAGCTTGGTGACCTATAATAGACTATACAACTTGTTGACCTCCTTGTTTCAGCTTGATTAAATTTGCTCCTCTTTTTCAATGTGTGCCATTTGGTTGAGGGTCAAACTGTCGGAGGTGACACTAGGTAGATATTGGAAGGCAAAAAATGTGATCACCGCAAAAGTCCTCCATGATATGTCAGAGGTACTGACATGGACTGACATGGACTGACATGGACTGACATGGACTGACCAAAGCCTTCAACTGAAAAGATTCTGGCAGACAGACGATATGATTCGATATGATTAGGCCTTGGTGCAAAACACTCGGGACTTCCCTATGAACATCTTGAAACAAAAGCGATGATCAAGGATCCTTTGCAACCTCCTCGTTTACTTGCTTGCTGCCGCGGGGGTCACATGTGTGGGCAAACTCAAATCAAAGCAAAAATTGCCAACCCCCCGAGAAAACAGGTCCATGACACCAAGCCAAGTCCAACAAGCTCACTTGACCATCTTTTTTTCTTCCTCAATCAGCTAAGATCAGTCAAGTTCACAAACATTTGAGATATCTCGAAGCTAAGTAATCTAGACGAAGAATCCTGAATCGATGCTTAAACTGCACACTGCGACGTGGCAGCTCAAGGTGAGTGTTTCCAGGGATGGATGGAGCTCCACGAAATGGAAAATGATTCAAAATCCTGCTACGAAGTCGTACCCTATCTGTTGGGCGTATTAAATTTGAGAATGGGTAAAAACGTAATTAATCAAGTCTAGAATCTCCCAGAGTCATACTGAAAACAAAGGGGTTCATTAGGGTTCATTCACCATACTATTCGATCTACAAATTTTGGTGTCCGTCAAGAGCACTTCTCAAAAAGGGTTCGCTTAAGTAAAGTATCCGACTCCAATGTACCTTCCATCACCGATGGCTACGCTCCCTGAAGAATCCAAGACCTGCGAACCTCGAATCAGTGACTTGTGTTCCTTGGGCCATCTTGGGCCCCACCTCCGTGGAAACACTCCAAAAAACAAACTGGGGCAGTCACAGTGATCAGTGTAACAGTGTAACAGTCTATCCGCCCCCTCCTCAGGACTCAACTCCAAGTCCCCGAGAATGTCTAGGAAAGTGTCTGAAGAAAGGGCAAACATGACGATAGCCCATGACTTTTCACAATGGCGCTATGTGGGGCTCAACAACCGGAATGTGCCATGATTGTGAAGAACATTGAAGAAAACGAAGGTGTACTATACTATACGTAAGTTAATGTAGCCATCTACTGAAAAACCTTTAGAACTACCCAGCTTTCTTTCAGCAGCAATGCCTCCCTTGGGCTCACGAATCGTGGGGCTTCACTCGGCATAGCCAAACTCGAGGCGAGTTTTGGGCAGACGCTTGGGCTGGATGGTCACTTGAATCCGGTGCCAGCCATTGCATAGGACCCCGCGGATATTCCAAACAGACCTGGCCAACGGCTGAGATTCAGTGGATTTTGGTAGCCTTGATTTAGATGTCTAGACGTCGGGATCGCGTGGTGCATACAAACAGTCCAAAAAACAAGTGGGACTTTGCATTGGTTGGGGCCTGAATGCTCTAATGTCTAATTATATGGAATATGTATACCCTTGTGTACCGTCTACATTTCTACATCCATATGCCGATTGCCTCTGCATCTCTGCTTCGGATCATCATAAACAATGGGTTTGTAAAAATATGCATAAACAATCATAAACATATGCATATATGTGCATATCACGGGGCCGGGCCAAGCTAAAGGTGCCAAAGGGCTCGATGGATTCAGGCTGCACGTTGTACTGAGCATCCACAGCTTTCACCTCAAACCCGTCACCCTCTGCGTTCGTGGGGGGCCAAATTGCTCTGAGCTGGTGGTAGTGGGAGGTGGAATCGGAATGGAAGAAACCACTTCCGGGAAAATGAAAAGACTCACAAGCTGCAGAAACACAAAAACCCTGCACTACGTTGCCACAGGATCCGCCCTCATCAAGTCATCATTTAATCCACACACACACACACTGGACACACACACGCACACACGAAAGACTCAAACATTTCTGAAGTTTGGGGGCCATTCAACTAAGCCAATGTAGGGATTGCATTTGGGATGCCTCAATTTTCAGCATCCCAGGTGCAATGAGGTTGAGCGCCTTCCCGGGTTTTTGCAAATCCGCTGGCACAGGCAATTTGGCTGTCCACAAGGTCCTGAAGGCATGGCTAAAAGAACGCAAGCGACACGTTGGGTTTTTAATCATGGCAATTTTAAACCACTATAGCAAGTTAACCATCATCGACGGAAGTTTAGAAGTCAAACTTCCGACAATATGGACAGATGGAAAGCAGAGATGGGCAGAGGCAGAGAGAAGAGAAGAGTAGAAGAGAGCAGATCAGAGAAGAGAAAGAGTCAGAAGAAAGAAGATGCAAATGCGCGAAAAGGTAGGAAAGTTGCGAAACACTGTGTTTTTTCCAATGATTTGTGGCTCCGGAGGGTCGAAAAGTAGGCTCGCTAAAGCGACGGGTGCGGAGCCATCTGGCCAGATGAGAGATGAAAAATTGCACGCCGTGCGCGAAGCACATTTGCAAGTCAAAATGAACAAAACATACCAGGTTCGGACCACTTTTGGAAGTTTGAAAAAATGCATGCCGTTGGGGCGCGACGCACATTTCGAAGTCAAAATGCACAAAACACACCAGCTCTGAACCACTTTTGGAAGTTGAGATGTCGAAAAAGTGCACGCCATTGTGACGCGAAGCACATTTTGAAGTCAAAAGTGCAAAAAAGTGACGGGTACGGAGCACTTTTGGACGTTCAGATGTGCTTCCGCGTGGCAGGCGCAAGGGATTGTGCACCTTGTCAAAAGTGAGCAAAACGTGAGGGTTTTGTAGCATTTCCAAAAGCGATGGCAGGCGTGGGGCATTTGAAGAGGATCTTCAAAGATGCATGTCGCGTGGCAGGCGCACTACAAAAGACATGTTCATCAGAGATGTTAGCATTTTGGAGCATCAGATCTTCAGGTTTCCTGAGATGATTTTGCGTGACAGGTGCAGCACTTCGTATGACTTGGCATCACTTTTTCGTGGCAGGCGCAGTACTTTCGACAGGTGGACTGGAAAAAGCGCAAAACGCATTGGTACGAAGCTGTTAGCTCTGCACTCAACTTTCCATTTTTGAAGGAAGTCTCGCAGAATTGCTTTGTTTTTGATGTTGTCAAGTTGAAAAATTGAAGAAGTCTCGCAGAAGTGCTCCGTTTGTGATGTTGTCAACGTTGAAAAATGAGGAAGTCTCGCAGAATTGCTTTGTTTTTGATGTGGTCAACTTCAAAAAATGAGGAGGTCTCGTTTGATGTTGTCAACTTCAAAAAACGAGGAAAAGTCTCGCAGAAGTGCTGCGTTTTTGATGTTGTCAACTTGGAAAAATGAAGAAGTCTCGTAGAATAGCAAGGTTTTCAAGCTTGCAAATAAACAGGTAGATAGATAGATAGTTAGATAGATAGATAGTTAGATAGACAGATGAGAGAGAGAGAGAGATAGATAGATAGATCGATAGATAGATAGATAGATCGATTCATCGGTAGGTAAGTAGGTAGATAATCAGAGAAAGAGAGAGAAAGAGAGAGAGAGAGAGAGAAAGAGAGAGCAAAAGAGAGAGAAAGAGTGAGAGAGATCAATCACCTTTCAGTCCATCAGTGGATTCGCTCTGCCATCCGTGAGTCACAACAACTAACCTCTCCTATAGGTTTCCTATTCTTGAAACTTCCGCCACCGCATTGTGCGGTACTACTGGTAGTTCCAATGTAAACCCACGAGTGGTGACATGGTTATTTCAAAATGCTCTTCAGTTGTTGTCAGTACCAATCTCTCGTGTATCAGCCAGAAACTTTCGGTTGCTGCAAGTGAAGCATTGGCACTCCGTTGCATTGGGATGGTAACGATGACACCTTTCAGATCTTGCGGATTGTTTGGAATAATACAGCGATTCCACGCAATCCTCATGCAAACAGTGATTCTGATGAAGGTCATCAGCACGACGATTACGATGCCGATGATTGCTATATGCTATGAAGATCGTTATCCGTGTGATGGTGAAAATAATGATGACTATTCTTCGTGCTGTTATTATTCTTACTATTGCCGTTGTTATTCCTAGTGCTGTTATTATTGCCCAGGACGATGACAAACTGCTAAGAGCGGCCGGAGCTCCAAGCCCAGGTTCGTGTTAACGACCTCAGGGTGGGGTCGTTAAGGACATGCACACCATCATCGCAGCTGTGCGGTTGCTGACATATGCTGACTTCCACATCGCTTCTTGGCAACGCTTTATCACAGCTTGGAAAGCAATAAGTAGAACTTTAGCATTCCCTTTGATGAGTCTATGAACCAACCAATTGGGCCAAAGGAAGAACAACTATTCAGGGGAATTTAGAGTCCTTACGAAAAGAAACACCCACTCGAACACCTCAAACCTTGTGCTCAGTCAATGTCACAGCTTTAGCCATGCCACCGAAAAAATTACTCCCATTTCCGTCCGTTTGATGCTCTCAAACTCCCCATTTCAGAAGTCTACTTCTACAGTACATGGTTCCAAACGATCAGGAATGCCGGCAAATAGCAAACAGCAATAATTCATCCCTCTGATTGGTTGTTGTTCATTTTCTTCATGTCTTTTCCATCACCTTTACCCCTAAAAATTCTCATCCCTCTCATTGGTGGTGTTTCATGGTGTTTGTCCATGCTTTTCCCTCCATCTTTAGCCCCAAATCACCCAACATATCCACGTGATTCATTCGTCAATCATCTGTATAAAATCTATAAATGGACCACTTTCATCCACTTTCCACAGTTATGACAGTTTTTTCAGGGGGTTGTTCCATCTTCTTTCCTCCATAGCCCCAAAATCCCCCCATCCTTGGTTCAAGTCTCTGTCCCTCCGGTCGCTTCAGCTCGGCCTCCGTCCAGGTGTGCCCATCCGCCGAGACGTCCACACGGGCGATGCCGCGACCGCCACCACTCCACGCCCAGCCCTGGCGTTTCGACTGCTAAAATCATGGGGAGAACATGGGAATTTTTAAGCCCGCCCCCCAAACAAAATACATATTAAATATATATATATATGTGTGTGTGTGTGTTTTTTATATACATATTATAATATAATAGTAATGATTAAATGAGATTCTAAATGATGATTATACGTTTTGATATAGTAAACCATAATGATTTGGGATTTAAGCCCCCAAATAATAGGGATGACATGGGGACTGCACCAACATATGGGGAGAATGATTGATGGTGGATGATGATGCGGGATTCACCCAAGGCCTAATATGATGGCGATATTAGGGATATAATGGGAGAATCATCTACAAATGACAAATGAAGATAGAAGGCGATATGTATATATATATTCATATATATATATATAACATAGAAATTGAATTATATAATATGTATGTGTGTGTGTGACATGTGTGTGTGTACAGTATATGTATACATAAGCAACAATGATAATGATATGTAGGTGTCTGAAAATGGTCGGTAGGGAAAATGGTCTACAAGACATTGGATGGAATGGAGTACAGTATATACTACCCAGTTTTCAGACAGACCCATTTACAGATAGCATTCATGTCCATGGCCTACTACGCCCTACGGCAATCCTGGGGGAGGTCTTCTGACCATGAATCAGTACATCCCACTGCCGGGACTTATTGTTGTGTGCCTACTAGCAGAAAATCACAACACATTCCTATTTAACTTACTGGTTATGTTCAAAACATGGCCAAACATAAGCCCAACATAAGCCCAACATGGCCCAACTGCAGAATTTCCCAACCATCCCAGCGGCCCTATCCTCACCTTCATCTCCACACATCCGTCAGGTGTCAATTGCACCAGGCTTTTGGGCGACGGCCAACTGATGGCGGAGTTCACCGGCATATCCTGCGATACGGACAGTGAAGCCTTCGCATAGGTGTAGGAATGGTGTAAAATATGTCGGTATTATACTGATCCATACTGATCCATACTGATCCATACTGATCCATACTGATCCATACTGATCCATACTGATCCATACTGATCCATACTGATCCATACTGATCCATACTGATCCATACTGATCCATACTGATCCATACTGATCCATACTGACCCATACTGATCCATACTGATCCATACTGATCCATACTGATCCATACTGATCCATACTGATCCATACTGATCCATACTGATCCATACTGATCCATACTGATCCATACTGATCCATACTGATCCATACTGATCCATGCAAATACTATTTCAATCTATTTCATATTCGTTCATGTCTAACATGCACATACTGGCGATCAGTCCGCGCATGCCGTCAAATACACTTCCATTCTTTGTATGACTATGGTCGTTCTGCGTGTTTTGTCACTGAAACTTGAACTGCATTCAGCTGAAGGGACGTTCATCTCATGTTTGATACAACTCCAAGCAGTAACTAAAGCAATTTCTGAGAGCAAGAACTGATGAGAAGATATGAGAAGAATGTTCTGCTTGTTTGTCTGATCTGGCAAGTCTTGGACCCCGCTCATCCCTCTCCAGCATCCCAGCATTGATCCTGAATCGCTGGGAGGGAGGAAAAATCTGCTGTCTCCCACGTGGTGGAATTGTTGAAGGCTTTGTAGTCGTTCCTTAGCCCAGGTCCAGTCAGGATGCTACCACCCATGATCCTCGTGAAGAGAATAATCAACATTTCTGCCGGGGATACAAATCACTAGATATAATATTGGATAATTAGAGGTGCAGTGTCCTGAAACATGACTAGAAAAAAACTACCCCCTGGTATACAATCAATCTAGATATACAAGCCAGGCACTGCTGAAGCTTCAACAAAACCCCTCGCACTCCGAGCATCTGCTGCCAATGGGACTGCGATTCCTCGCTCGCCACCTGAATGGACAATTCCGTCACGTTTACACTTCAGTCACAGAATTGGATGATGGGAAAATTGGATGATGGAAACCACCATATTTGACGGTAAAAACCATGCTTTCTTGTAGATTCAGCATAGTATCATACTATGAGTCTATATCATCTCATCTCATCTCATCCCGTTGTATCATGTTGTATCATGTTCTATCTAGTGAATTGGGCCATGGGGCGAACATCCATACCCATCATACCCAGCCACCAGCCAAAATCCAAGGGACAATCAGCTTGTTGAGCCACTTGACGCTCCTTGCGCCCGCCACGCCAGGCACCAAGCACCTCACTGGAGCTCCGTGGTCCGCTGGCAGCGGCTCACCGTTCCTCGGCCATGACTTTTTTGGGTGGAAATGGGTGGAATAGACAGATGCAACATGCAACCCGGATGGAACATGAATGAAAATCATGCACATGATGCACATGCTGACATTATTCTGATTTCACTCATGAACAAACGGATTACTCATTTGTGGGCGTGGGTTTCCTTAAAATTTTGTGCGACATGTTGTCCCATGGCCCGAGGAGAAATTTTGTGCAGAAAATCTTAGAAAGCCATCCACGACAAATGAAACTTTCCCTGCCAACTTAGATGACCCGATGTTATTCACTGAATACCATCCAAGTTCCTAGCGTTATTGGCTATTGTCTTATCTAATCCCCTACATGTACATTCTCTGTCCATCGTGTCGTGTTGCCCGTGGTTATATACAATGTCCTCTAAATAGGTACATGATTCTGACAAATTCTGACTCTACCTCGACTGATTGAAATATGTGGGACCTGATATGCCCTGATCCCTGCATCCAAAAGGCATCTTGAACGTCAGGATGACATCACGACGTGGATCCTCATTCCCAGCTTGGGATGATCCAGAATCAGTTGTTTTTCCACACACTTGGCTTGAAAGAAGACTTAGGATACCTTACACCCCAAGATGCCCCAAGATATTCAAGAATCATCATCCATTTCTTAGGCTGTTTGATTTTATGTTTGATTTTATGTGGCTTCCGATTGGTGTCACTGAAAATCATCATTGCCAGCCATCTGTTTCGGATCCATCTGGTCGTCCAGGCCTGAGCCCAAGCCAAAGGAATGCTGGCACCATAGAAGCCTTTGGTATCACGCCATTCGCCCACTTTGGGACGGTCTAAGCCTTCCATCTGCAAGTGCAACTGCCTTGGGCGGAAAATGAGGGCTTTGAAGCCCGAACTTGCTAGTTGTATGGGGAAAGTGATGGTAAACCATCATGAAACATATACGACATATGGATCATATGATCATATGGATCTGGGATTTCAGGGTGGCCTAGTTTCAAACAAACCCACTTGGTGTGAGAAAAGTTGGATGGGTTGTGAAGGGAATCGTGCTTGGAAATTCATGGAGATTCGTCGAAGCACTGGCACTCTGATGGACATTCCGAAGACCAACAAAATAGATCAAAGTATATAGGAATATGATGGGATATGTATAGGGATGCTTAATTATATATTGACCATCATCTTCATCATCTTCGGAGTTTTGGGATGGTCAATGTTGATACAGAGCCATGCAGCTTGACACCGTACTCTTTGAAAGTTGAACTCAACAAAGGGAAATATATATTCAATTACATTCAATAGGAAAACCGTCGAAAATCATCCAGCACGGGATACAAATTGAGAGGGGCCATGCCATTTCTCATGGCTAGTTACCGATTGGATCCGATTGGTCTCACCGCAAGAAATCCAGAAGTCGCCCCGCCATCGGCAAATCAACATGGCACAACGTTTCCCAAAAGTGTGATCAAACTCTGTGATATATGGGTCTGGAATCTTGTCATGCCTATGCATTCTGTCAAATCTTTGTTCTGAAACTCAGCTTTTTATCAACCGGCCATTGGCACAACGATACACAACACATGATGTACTGTATGATCTGTATGCTACACAATCTGTCTGGCACCAACTTCCCCATGGCACCACGGGTGTGGGACGACTTTCCGCAACATGAGACACGCAGGGTCTCATAGCGTGTTGATTCCAAAACAATACTTTTTGAACTTTGTCGGAGGTGATGCCGGTTTCAGATTTCAGATTGAACATGCTTGATGAATATGTATGAATAATGGATGAATCAGGTAAAATGATGTAAAATGTGCAGGTGGAACCCCACTCCCATCCATCACAATCCAAGTGCTCATCTTCACCTTCCAACTCGCTGTTGATGCCCAGGTCTCTGGGGACTCCAACCTAAGGACATCCCTTCCATGTTGAAATCACTAGAGGGCTCATTGGGATTCTGGATGTGTCTGGCAATCTGGCCATTCCAAAATTACTTCAGACATGGAAGTTGGTCACAGGATAGGGCCAAGATAAATTCCAGCCCCCTTCCAGTTCTTCTCTAGGGCCATTCCAAACGCACTATTTTTGCTAAATCCAATCAGGGTGCATAGTCCAAGACATCTTTCAACGCAACGCCTTCCCACTCCGCATTGGAGATGGCCCCGGTGTACCAGGTCAAGCCCTCCACTTGTGCCACAGAGTTCCTTAGTGAAACGAAACATTGGAGTGACGGGCAACTCCACGCACAATTGTAGATACCCATGCGTAATTGACATATGATTTAGTGCAAGCAGTAACTAAGTAGTCGTATCTGGAAATCATCTACCCAGATGTCCATCAATAATCCGAATAATTAACTACTATATATAATTGCTAAGCTTTCCAGACTAGGAAAATGTAGAACGTATAGCAATTGAAGGGGGAAAGAGATATGTGTTTTGGTTGCCAAGTTGCCTCTCTGTCAAGCGCTTTGCTGATACATCATGATACATCTACAAAATCTTGAATTGGGCCCATGTTTGTCTATCAACTGCCATTTGTTTGTGAAAATTCTCTCCCCAACAACAGTTGGCACGTCTGCTGCTTGGCCTCTGATCCTCACGGCGGTTGCCGGAGCACTGCACGATGGCGGAGACCTTCTTCCGCTTGAAGCGCTTCTCGTCCTGGTATCTTGAAGCAATGATCATGAGGGATCGCTGCAGGTAGAACCTCATAACCTCGTAGCTTTACTATAGACTATAGAATCAACATGGGATTGTCACGGATTCTCAGCAGAAATCCCAAACATTTTGATCCTGGAGGTCGGCCAAGGTCAACTTCACTGGTTCTTGATCTTCTCCTGAAGGCCAAGCGAAATCTGGGGTCATTTATGCCATCCTCATCATCCTCTCAACGCAGGCCCTGAGAAATGCCCATTTCAACCAAAAAGTCACTCTAATCGGGAAATTCCGAATTCCGATAAACCGCCGGATTTTCGGGTACACAGTAGCTTTCAAACAAAAACTACCTCTGCACGAGGGATTTGAGGGATCAGCTGATCAATGCACCAAGAGCATGCTAGAAGAAACCGATTCAACATCTGGGATTTTGAGGCCTACCTGATACGTGAGGTACAAAGAAGCTGCCATTGAACAACGCATTGAGAAGATAGTGTGTATTATATAAAATTTGATGATATTTGTATATGTGATGTGCATATAATTGTATATACACGCTCGGATCTTGGCTGTCCAAGCTGATCCAAGTTGCCACCCTTCCTGCCCCAGGCCATGCCTGGAATGATCTCCAAGACGTACTTCTTTGGATCGACAATGTCGCCTGCAACACCAGGCCAAGGCAGGAACGATTTCTTCCAACAGAACTTGGCTGGCAGTCATGTCCAAAACTAAAAACACCAGCTCCTTCCAGATCTTCCAGTATAAGCGGGAAAAATATGGGAATTCGCATATAATTACCCCAGCTGCATATCTCATGGCATGCAGTTGTCGGCAAAAAAACAGTTTTACCCTGCAATCTGGAGCTGCTTGAGCCATCTTGAGCCCCCCGGATGCCTAACCGTTAGAACTATGATCAACCCCCGCATAGGATGTCTTTTCCTTCGGGATGGAGTAGCCAGCAAACCACAATCCACCTGGGGATGGATCAAAACCCATGAGGCCTCGAATTATTTTGGGAGGTTAGACAGTTAGACACATCCTAATATAGATCTTTGATATATATATATATATTAATATCATTAATGATATTTAATGATCATTATAGATCCATAAAATCCCAGCTATTTCGGAATCCACCAGGGTGGACCCCATGCCTGTTGGTACAGGCAGGTGGTTTCGGACGAAGAATTTCTCGTTGGGCGTTAAATACTCTTGCTTCGCCAGCTGAGACCTGAACGACCACCCCAGATCCCCAACGAAGCCTGGCCTTGTGTGTGTGTGTGCGCGCGCATGTGTTAGTGTTTGCCTTAACTCAAAGACATGACATGAATGTAACATAATGTAACATGCATTTGTGACATTTGGTGAAACATATAAATCATATAAATGATATTAGGCGTCGACATATGAACATCAACGTGAATTACAGGGGTCAACTCCCTGAAGCTGAACATGCTCAATGCAGATCAGCCCATCATCCCATGAGGACAAGATGCAAGGGGCACTCCGCATTAAAAGGCTTTGCTGCTTGGACCAGCAGCTCCGGATCTCGTTTGGGGTCCATTTGGTACGGATCAAAGGGCGGAGGTAAGTTCTTGTACTCAACCTCACCTGAATTGTGGCAGTGGTGCGGAGTGAAACACGTGGGAGCTTCACAAAATGCAAGACGTTGCAAGACCACCCAGCTCACCTCACTGAAATGTACAAGTAAGGACCTGTAAGGATATCATCTCTTCAACACTAAGGAATACAAGCAAACAGCAACCTCTCCCGGTGAACACCAGGACCGCACCAAGCACCAATCATGTTGAGCCACTTAAATGTCCGATGCGATGCTCTCCCAGGATGTCCTTCACGCTGGCGACGTTGTGCTGCGCATACATCGCCCAAAAAGGGTCGATCTGACCTCCAGCTGCTTTCAGAATCCTTGGCAGGGCAACACTCTGCACATAGCAAGGATTGGCATGGCATGTTCGTGTGCAATTGGCACTTACGCTACTTACGCTCAAGTTATGTTGAAGGCACAAGTTTACATAGAGGAGTTTCAGTTTTTGATCTTTCTGCGGCTTTGTGCGAGGAAAAAATATCGGAAAATGCATTGCCAAGCATCACTTGGTGTTTCGAATGTAAAAATATCTAGCTTGGTCACATTGCAGCTAATTGCGGAACAGTGCTTTCTACAACATTTGCATTTTTTGCAGCGCAGTGCCTAGTGCTTATTACCGCGGCTGAGTGTCAACCACCCCCCCACACACCACACAAACTAGAAATTTTCATACTTGTTTCAAGTCGCACACTTTTCGGCAACTATGGCCAAAGACCAAGGCTCCGTTCCAGTCCCCCAGGATGGTTTTGCACAAATTTTGTGATGTCGTAAACGCCATCCCTGTAGGTCACCCAAATGCCCTTGTCGATCGAGTTGTGCCTCAGCTCTTGATGCGGTTCCTTGACCATTTTTGAACTGATCGTGCTAGACCATCTTTGATCAGTTGAATGAAGTTCGCCCGAAAATCTGTGGTTTTGAAACACTCCGTCCTGAATTAAGACATGACCAAATGGCCCAAATGCATCCAAATGTTCTGCAGAATTTTGACCTGCTGCCAACCTACATTATCTTACATCTGTCTCCGATATGCAGCGTGTCTATGATTTTCCGAAGTCTTGCGACAAGAACTAGGCACACATCATTTTCAATCAAAACCCTCCTGCTGAGTCGTCAACACACAGCCCAACATATTAAAATAACGCATCTAGAATCTTAGAATGATGGCAAACATGTTTCAAACTCCACCTGCTGCAGGTACTTCCCCAAAACAATCTGCCAGCTCAGCACCCACCGGGGTCCCGTGCTTCTTGACATCAGCGAACTTGATTTCAGGCTCACCAGGCTTGTAGCCTCGTCACGATGAGGATCAAACCATTGATCCAAGGGGGCATCAATGGGCAAAGGCAGAGGGACCAGGGATTTTGTCATATCTTGTCCAGTCTGCCACCCCAAAATACATCCAATAAACATCAGTCAACATCAATAAATATCAGTAAACATCAATAAACTTCAATAGACATCAACGAACACCAATAACATCAGTAAACATCAATAAATAAACATCAACAAACATCACGAAGCATCACTTGTACAACATCAATAAACATTAATTATAAACATCAGTAAACATTAAGCAGCGTAACAGCAATAAACATGATAAGGAAGATGCCCTTGTGCCTGGTGCCAGCTGCTTCTTTTCCTTCTTCTCCTCCTGGCAGCTGTCATGACCCAGAGCAGTAGCTGCCACGCTGCGCCAGTATTGGAATTTGCCAGAAACAGAGGAGGAGATAGGAGGAGGTTGATATCAACAATTGTTTGTCAAAAATGCAGTTAAATGCAAGGACGAGAACATTTAGGATCGTGCCAAGGGCAGAAGACGCAGACCAGCCGATAGCCATGCCCAAGCCACTTTTTAGATAATAATGAAACCGTCCCCTTGGAAAGTTCACAGGCACCGCACACAAACACACGCACACAGTTCAGAATTCAGAACCGTACGGAAATAGAAAGTGACAGCAGTTGCAGCCAACCCTTCATTGCCCCTAGGTCCGGTTTTTCATCAGCATCATCAGCCCTCTGACTTTCCAGCTCCAATCCAATCGGCAATCCTTGACTTCCACCTTGGTCGCCTTGGTCGCCTTCTTCTCTTTGCAACTCACCAGGCTGCTGCCGAGCACAATGCCCGCAGCCGCCAAGGCGTTCAGATGTGGTCCATGTGGCCTCGCCCCCAACGGGACGATGGCACCATGGGATCCATGGGATCGCTGTGCGCGGCGCAGCACGCCCAGGGCGCGAGAGAAGCGGCTGGCCATGGTTGAGAGCCAAGAGTCCCTGAAGGGACCGGAACCCACAAGAAATTCAGGATGCAACATGATTCTACGTATTTTACCATATCTGCATATCTACATAAATCTAGAGTCCATAGCCAATTCATGCTGATCTAATCTAATCTAATCTAATCTAATTATGTCAGAATTACATCTATCAAGCTGATAAGCTGGGTTGTTCATGTTCTTTTGACAAATCCCTCAGATGGATTTAAATGAAACACACATGACGGACCTGCGAACACACATGACAGACCTGCAGTTATAAGTGTTAAAACGCTGGCGGACGGATGCTGACAGGTGGAGCTGCATCATTATCGACCCAGCGCAACCCTGTCCTGCGGCTGAGGGCAACTAGAGAGCGAGCTGACAAAACCATCCATCGTGCAGCGCAGATCCAGCCAGTTGTGATCCGGCCAGTCACAAGACTGATATGCTGCTGGCTGTGCCACTGGACAAATTTTCTTAACGATTTTCTGATGTTTTCTTAGTTCATGCTGTGGCTGTTAAACAGAAATAGGCAGCTGGCGCCCATTGGCGAACCTTGGAATGTGCCGTGGCGTTGATTTCGTGTCCTGGTGGGCTCCAGGGGCTTGATGCATCCTGACTCTGTTTGACTCTGTTTACATCCGAAGGCAGGGGGAAGAAAATACACTTGACCTTGCTGAAAGGATGTGACAAACAGAAGGATCCTGGATTGGTGGGATCCGAAATCTGAGCACCTTTTTCTGCGAAAGTCGACGTTTCAGCATGCAAGGAGTGACACAATTCCGGGTATGAGTCAAGTGCCTGAGGCCCTGGTTCTGATCGTCATGTGTCGCTATGGACAATCATAGCGCCATCCACATGTGGAACAACATAGGTATCGACCCACACCCATCTCATCAAACCCCTCCACTCTGGCCGGTACTTCGACAGCGTGCATCGCTGAGGATCATCCCGGCCAATGGGTCTAGGTGGCAGGAGACCGACATGCTACACATGCTGAGCACACAAAGCACTCTCCTAAATCACTTGGATAGGCCCTCAGATAGACCATTGTAACATGTTTGGGGTACATTGACTGCAACATGGTAACCTGGTAGCAGTCAATGTTTTTGTGGGGGCATGCCAGCTCCTCAAGCACGAATGCATGCACATCACGGGCTTCCGCACGCCAGAACATTGCAAACATATAGTACGCGTGTATCTATGTACTGTACTGTAATGCAATGCAATGTAATGTAGTGGGACGGCCGGAGGGACGGATGGATGTAACGGTGTCTATCCATCTCCATCATCATTTATGCATCAATGTGTTCAATCTCTCCGTCTCCATCGCCATCAGGTCACCCCATCCGAACACATTGATGTACAGTATCCCGTTTTTCTGCATGCATGCATGCATGCATGCATGTATTTGCACAATATGCATGTGTATAACTATTCATACTTCCCAAATCTTCCCATGACACGTTTCTCACATATAATGTGTGTGCGTGCGCGTATCCACTAAGGTCGACTGACAGGGCCCATCCAAGGCTGCTGGACTGTTGCCAGGACTTCGTTCTCTTGGCAGCATGATTTCGCTCAATCTGCCTGTGCAAGTGCTCAGTCTCTGCTTTCCACGTGCAAGATACTTGATACCATTCCCACCGCAAACTCAAAAAGCATACAAATATAGAAGTTCAGGACACAGAGAGACATGTAAGTAGATGCATCTGCAAAATGTCAGCAAATTGCAATTCTTTGCCCAGTGATAACTTTTTCGATGTGTACAACGCACTGCATGGCTCTGTATCGCTTTGCTGTGAACAGGTGCATGTGTGAACTCCCCCAAAGTGTCTTGGCTCCACCAAACCCAAGGTGATCCTTTCGGGCCTGTCTGTCTGTCTGCCTGCCTGCCTGTCTGTCTCTGATGTCATTGTCTATTCATCAAGCCAACTATTCATTGGATCAATTGCAAAAGTATCAAACAGTCAATAGGCAAAAAGGACTTGTCGGACAATCAATCTCACACATATCATCACTATATCATCACCATATATATATATATATATCGTATGTGTGTGTAATATAATGCAATATACTTATATATATATATATACACTATAAATTCCAATGTATGTTGATGCATTTTGTATCACTTCTTGCTGCAAGTGACCTTGTTCCGAAGCATCGATCGCGCAGAGAGGCCCGCGCTGGTCAGTGCCACCACACATAGCATGCCCAAGGCCCAGCTGGTGCGTTCCTTGTGGGAAAAACAATGCCATAAACCACCCATTTGGCCATAAAAATGGTGATCATTTAGGTTTATAGCGAATAAAAGGCTTAAGGCATAGCTTTTAAATGGCTTTAAAGTTCAAAGCTTGAGGCAACTTCGATGCAATCAAGAAAACCACCGCACGGAAAAATCGAGCTACACATTATCTCATAGTATATAGTATCTCTTAGTGATATTGTATATATTATATATGTTAACATGAATATCCAATGATATTCACAAATGCTCCACACAGTGCAGCAACAGCTTTGAAATCACCACGAAATCACCAGGCATCCATCGCACGTTCCCTTCTCTCTACCAAGCGTTCCAGCTCGTCTAGCAGGCCCACATGAGTAGGGAGCCTCAGGACCAAGCTTCTCCTGTGTCCAGTGAATCCAGAGAATGTCAATCTTAATTATTGTGGTTACCCCCCAGTATAGTGATGAATTATGATGGATTATGATGAACTATACTGAATTATGAATATTATGATGAATTACTGAATTACTATTAAGACTGGTACCCTCATCAACTGGCATTTTATTATGGTGCACTCATAACGGGTTTTCATTACCAATCAATGACTCAGTGTAGGGTGGTGCATTGCCCGGAAGCCGGTCGGATTTTCGCGAGGCGGGGGACAAGGCGAGAATTGAGAGTGCATCGGAGAAGCTCGCGCTCCACGTTCGTAGCTTCAACGAATGTCTATGAACCCTGCAAGGATGACCAAATATCTGAAATTGACTGAGTGCAATTTTGGAAAAAAAAGGTGACGAGAGTATCATCCACTATGCCTGTCTTTGCTTCCCAGTGGATTGGCCATCCCTACGGTCAAGTGTATTCCTTCATTATCTGATTCGCGCGTACCGGCCGGCCCATCGGAGAAACTGCAGATTCCTGCGGATCATGATTAATCTGCTAAATCGAATAGTAAACCCACCATTTTTGGGATGGTTTTTAGATGTTTTTCCATCCATTAAAGATTTTGCTTTGCATTCAAGGGTCCCAAAAGACCCAAGGGTCCAAACTGGGTCCAGCTGATGAATCTCGCGCAAGCCTCGCTCATGTCCTTTTTCTCGCTCACACCCAAAATCATCCAAGTAAGGATTTGTCAGGACAAACAAATCAGTGACAAAAGGTCTGCTCAATTATGGGGCATGTTACAATTTGAATTCTCTTTTTTGATTTGTCCTGATCACATTTGCCTGCTTAAGTGTATGCAAAATGCAAAATTCGTGGCATCGTCATGTTGCTACTCGAGCTTGGATGCTTTCTGCATCACTGGCCGGGCTGCTCAGCTTCAGCTCGGACACGCTCGGATGTTTTTGCTCCGTGCCCTGGACCTGGACGGCCTGTCACGGAGAAACCGCCCGGCTTGCGACAACGGGGAGGGCACGGAGCTGGGGAGCCATGGCTGGCCAGGGGTAACACAACGGGAGAAGAAGAAGGGGAAAGTGATGCAAAATGAGAAATGTCACTTTTATAGTTTGTAAACTAGAAAAAGTTGCTTTTGTAACATATTGAAATTGTAAAATTATGCATATTTGCTGAATACTTTGATATTTTTTGAAAAGTAATTTCTATCCATATTTTTTGTCCACAACCAATCTTAAAACATTCACTGGTTCATTTTCAAGGTATTGGAATGAAATTTAAAAGTTTTTTTTCAAAATATTTTTTGTCAAAATATGTTCAAAAAACTAATTTCTATCCTTAAATTATGTCCAAAATCAGGTTTAAAACATTCAGTGGATCATGCTCAAGGTATTGGAATGAAATTTAAAATATGTTTTTTTCGATTTTTTTTGGTCGAAATTTGGTTCAAAAATGACATTTCTATCAAAAATATGTCGTGTCTAACCTTAAACCCTACATCCGTTAATAATCATAATGCACAATATGCACATAAGCACGCTATTTCCACACAACGGGGTGTTACAACGGGGGAGACACAACGGGAGAAGAACAACGGGGAAAATGATGCAAACTGCGAAATGTCCTTTTGCGAAAAACCGCCATGCCCAAAAATATGTTTTGCGAAAATCTGGTTTCCCCAAGGATGTGTTTGCGAAAATCCTGGATATCCAGGACCGTGGTTTGCGAAAGATCAGGGTCAGATCTTTCTCAAAAGATGTTTTTACCCATGTTTTGCGAAAAACCGCCATGCCCAAAAATATGTTTTGCGAAAATCTGGTTTCCCCAAGGATGTGTTTGCGAAAATCCTGGATATCCAGGACCGTGGTTTGCGAAAGATCAGGGTCAGATCTTTCTCAAAAGATTTGCAATTGTTAAATTATTTGTTGCTACATGTGCGCATATATTGATAAATGAGGAAAACAACATTTTTTTTGCGAAATGTGGGATTTGAATTTCACTCTCTGAATAGTTTTTTTTCATGAACAGTTTGCGAAAAAACAACATGTCCAGGATTCTTTTTTGCGAAAATCCTGCTTCCCCAAGAATGTGTTTGCGAAAATCTTGGGGAATCAGGACCTTGGTATGCGAAAGATCTGGGTCAGGTCTTTCTCAAAAGATGTTCCATGTTTGTATGTCATATTAAAATATATACATAATGTATGTATATGTGATGTCGCTATATTATATATGATGACAGGAAATCACCTTTTTTTTTGCGAAAAACTTGTTTTCTCAAAAATGCTGGCCACAAGTCGCTCAGATTGATCGCAAAATGGCAGCTGGATAACATCTATGTTGAACCCCTTGTTTGCGAAGAACCAGGGCCTGGTTCTTCTCAAACAACTGCTTGTTCCCTAGCACTGCTTTGCGCAAGCCTCTGGTTTGCTTAAAACACCCCAGGTATCAGCAGCCTGTTTGAGAAGAACCAGGCCCTGGTTCTTCGCAAACAAGGGGTTCAACATAGATGTTATCCAGCTGCCATTTTGCGATTAATCTGACTGACTTGTGGCCGGCATGCTTGAGAAAACCTACTTTTCGCAAAAAAATGTTGTTTTCCTCATTTATCAATATATGCGCACATGTAGCAACAAATAATTTAACAATTGCAAATCTTTTGAGAAAGATCTGACCCTGATCTTTCGCAAACCACGGTCCTGGATATCCAGGATTTTCGCAAACACATCCTTGGGGAAACCAGATTTTCGCAAAACATATTTTTGGGCATGGCGGTTTTTCGCAAAACATGGGTAAAAACATCTTTTGAGAAAGATCTGACCCTGATCTTTCGCAAACCACGGTCCTGGATATCCAGGATTTTCGCAAACACATCCTTGGGGAAACCAGATTTTCGCAAAACATATTTTTGGGCATGGCGGTTTTTCGCAAAACATGGGTAAAAACATCTTTTGAGAAAGATCTGACCCTGATCTTTCGCAAACCACGGTCCTGGATATCCAGGATTTTCGCAAACACATCCTTGGGGAAACCAGATTTTCGCAAAACATATTTTTGGGCATGGCGGTTTTTCGCAAAAGGACATTTCGCAGTTTGCATCATTTTCCCCGTTGTTCTTCTCCCGTTGTGTCTCCCCCGTTGTAACACCCCGTTGTGTGGAAATAGCGTGCTTATGTGCATATTGTGCATTATGATTATTAACGGATGTAGGGTTTAAGGTTAGACACGACATATTTTTGATAGAAATGTCATTTTTGAACCAAATTTCGACCAAAAAAAATCGAAAAAAACATATTTTAAATTTCATTCCAATACTTGAGCATGATCCACTGAATGTTTTAAACCTGATTTTGGACATAATTTAAGGATAGAAATTAGTTTTTTGAACATATTTTGACAAAAAATATTTTGAAAAAAAAAACTTTTAAATTTCATTCCAATACCTTGAAAATGAACCAGTGAATGTTTTAAGATTGGTTGTAGACAAAAAATATGGATAGAAATTACTTTTCAAAAAATATCAAAGTATTCAGCAAAATATGCATAATTCTACAATTTCAATATGTTACAAAAGCAATTTTTTCTAGTTTACAAACTATAAAAGTGACATTTCTCATTTTGCATCACTTTCCCGTTCTTCTTCTCCCGTTGTGTTACCCCTGGCCAGCCATGGCTCCCCAGCTCCGTGCCCTCCCCGCAAGCCGGGCGGTTTCTCCGTGACAGGCCGTCCAGGTCCAGGTCCAGGGCACGGAGCAAAAACATCCGAGCGTGTCCGAGCTGAAGCTGAGCAGCCCGGCCAGTGATGCAGAAAGCATCCAAGCTCGAGTAGCAACATGACGATGCCACGAATTTTGCATTTTGCATACATTTAAGCAGGCAAATGTGATCAGGACAAATCAAAAAAGAGAATTCAAATTGTAACATGCCCCATAATTGAGTAGACCTTTTGTCACTGATTTGTTTGTCCTGACAAATCCTTACTTGGATGATTTTGGGTGTGAGCGAGAAAAAGGACATGAGCGAGGCTTGCGCGAGATTCATCAGCTGGACCCAGTTTGGACCCTTGGGTCTTTTTGGACCCTTGAATGCAAAGCAAAATCTTTCATTCATGGTAATATTGGGGATGGGTCATTGTTGGGCTTACCACATTACAAAGGATTTGTCCACGTGGGCTGGGAAAATCATTGTGAAACATCCGGAGAATATTCGTGCTGCTTCGGCAAGTCGGCCCAATGGCCAAGTGGCCCAAGTCGGGCCCATTCATTTTCGACCAGCCCAAACTTCGATGAGCTGATGGCCATCTTGGATCATGTGAGCCTTTGCTCACCTTCAAATGGAGAACGCTGACATGGTCTCATCGGCCTGGGTGCTTACATGGCTTGCACAGGATGGACGGTCATTGGTGATGGCAGAACTTAGGCCGCTGGAGGTGCGAAAACGCGTGCGATCTTGAGACGCCTTGGGGCAGCATGGCCTCGTAAACAAGGTGATCAACGTGAGAACCAGCAGGAGGAAACATGCTGACCTGAGATGACCGAACCCGCCAAAAAAATCGAAGCTTACAGTATGGTAGGCTCAGATTTGAAGGAGGGAAACAGTTCCTTGAACATCTTGGAATACGGCCAGTGACGGGAAAACGCTCGTTGGTGGAAAGAAGTATAGTGGTAGGTAGGCGATGCTCACAGACACAACACCAATTGGCAGCATTGGCGGAATCAGCATGAAGCATAGGAGCCACTGCGGTAGGTATCGAAGCAGTGGCACACTCATCCTCCATATTGTGAAACTTGATCGCGCTAGAATGATCATCACCACATAGACGTTCAGAAAGTCCAGCACCTCACGAACCGGTCAACACACTTGACAAACTGGCTGAGGCATCCCTCATCCACACCATTTCAAGCATAGCGGAAAGGGAGAAAGGAATACAGAAAAGATCAGAAACGTACAGTCGCCCTATGAAAATTGAGGATGTGTCTGTGAGTGAAAGTTCCATCTGACCACCAGTGTGGCCAATGATGCCTATGCTGTACTACACGCAAGAACATTTGGCAACAGAATGTCGCATCCAAGGCAGCAAAGCCGCCACCACATATCATACCAGGTAGTGCCCGGCACGCGACGGGGCGGAATTTTCGAAAATAGGACATGGCTATAGGAACCAGTTTGCCTATAGGATTCTTGGTGAGCTGGAAAGAAGTGAATTGAAATGAATGAATCGAAGAAAATAAATAAATGCAATGAATGAAGTGGGTGAGTGGGTAAGTGGGTGAGTGGGTGAGTGGGCGAGTAGGTGAGTGAGGTGTGTGGGTGAGTGGCTGAGTGGCTGAGTGGGTGAGGTGAGGTGAGGTGAGGTGAGGTGAGGTGAGGTGAGGTGAGGTGAGGTGAGGTGAGTGAGTGAGGTGACAGTGAGGTGAGGTGAGGAGAGGAGAGGTGAGGAGAGGAGAGGAGAGGAGGAGGAGAGGAGAGGAGAGGAGAGGAGGAGGAGAGGAGAGGAGAGGGTGGAAGGGAGTGGAGTGGAGTGGCGTAGGGAGTGGAGTGAGAGGAGTGGAGTGGAGTGGAGTTGGAGTGGCTGGAGTTGGAGTGGAGTGGGGGGGGTGGGGGAGGGGGTGGGGGTGGGGTGGGGGTGGGGTGGGGTGGGGTGGGGGTGGGGGTGGGGCGGGGCGGGGCGGGGGGGCGGGGCGGGGCGGGGGGGGTGGGGTTGTTGTGGTGGAGTGGAGTGGAGGGAGTGGAGTGGAGGGAGTGGAGTGGGAGGTGGAGTGGAGTGGAGTGGAGTGGAGTGTTGTGAGGTGGAATGGAGTGGAATGGAGCGGAATGGAGTGGAATGGAGTGGAATGGAGTGGAATGGAATGGAATGGAGTGGAATGGAGTGGAATGGAGTCGTGGCGTGGCGTGGCATGGAATGGAGTGGAGTGGAATGGAGTGGAGTGGAGTGGAGTGGAGTCGACTGGAGTGGACTGGAGTGGAATGGAGTGGAGCGGAGCGGAGCGGAGCCGAGAATTCACGCATTCCCGATCTCTTACACTTCCCACCTACTTGATGATGATGTGGTAAACATGAGGATTGAGATGATGATGTGCTTGCCATGATGCTGCGACAGCTAGCCATGACCAGTCTCGTGCACCTTTTGCCGACCTCATCTTCCAAAAGTGCTCCGGTCCCCTCAGTTTTTGTTTACGCTTTTTATGTGAAATCGAGCTATCACTACAGTCTAGTGCACCTTTTGCCGACCTCATCTTCCACAAGCGCTCCGCTTGTGACAGTTGTTTGACAATTTTTATCTGAAATCGAGCTCTCGCTACAGTCTTGTGCACCTTTTGCCGGCCTCATCTTCCAAAAGCGCTCCGGTCCCCTCAAGTTTTTTACGCTTTTTATGTGAAATCGAGCTCTCGCTGCAGTCTCGTGCACCTTTTGCCGACCTCATCCGTTTTTAGAATGATTTTTTGAATGAAACCGAGCTCTCGCTACAGTCTCGTGAACATTTTGTCGATCTCATCTTCCAAAAGTGCCCCGACCATGACAATTCTATAATATAACATTTTCAAGTGGAAATCGAGCTCCCGCTACAGTCCTGTGCACTTTTTGTCGACCACTTTCCCCGATCGAGCCGCGAAACCGCGGAAACAGAGACCCTCCTTCGGCGACCACGGCAGCCACTTTACCAGAAAAAATACAGGGTTTCGCGATGTTTCGCGCCCGAGAGTGTTTTCAAGCCTGAATTCACGCGCTCCCGATCTCTCACACTTCCCAACTACTTGCATGATGATGTATGATGATGTGGTTGCCATGATGATTGAGGTGATGATGTGGCTGCCATCATGGTGAGAAAGCTAGCCATGACAATCGTTCGTAATTCGGAAGTTTCCTAACTAAACTTCCTTTAGCCATCTCTCCCCTCATTACCACCATCCCCTTCAGCCACAGCGGTACCATATTGTACCATAACCACTATCACTAGCATCATGGATGCATCACCTGCAGCCTTCGGCACCTTGTTGATGATGAAGAAGACCAGGTCAATACCCACAATGCTTGGGTCCAGCGAATGAAGGTCGGCATATAATTCCGAAACCAAGTCGGCCAGCCATGGACTGTTGGCACAAATTTATAGGTGTATTAGCTCCTCCCCCCAAAGTTCGTACCCCCAGATCTAAATGGAAAACTGATCCTGTAATGACCCTATGTTTTCCAACCTTGTCAAAACTGAGAAGGTTTACTCTGGGAAAGGGATGTTTGTTTAATAAGGCTTATTAATAAAGGTTCCATGAATGAGCCTGTGGGCGCTAGCAAGACTTCAAATGGATCAAACCCAAATGATATGGGGTTCTTCATCACCTGCAAAAGGCATTGCTCTTGGGAAGCCTTAATAAACACCCAGGGGTTGATGTTGGGAAATTCCACCAAACGCGGGCTTGCTAAAGCCCAAAAATACAAAAAATGATAGGCATTGGATTGGGATTGGTAAGGCTTAATAAGGCTTAATACCCTTTACTACAACAGAACAATTGTTTTGAACATCGTGCCAAACGGATTGGTTCTTAATAAGGCTTAATAAGGCTTAATACCCCTTACTCCAAAGTGCACTTACCACAGGTTCTCTTTACTGAATCTGCACATCTTTTCCCATGGGCGTTCACAAAGCTTAAAAACTACTCACGTTAAGCACTGCATTTGACACCCTTTACAACAAAAGGCAGCCTTCAGTCGCTCGTGGCACAACTTTCCATCTTTGGGTGGTTGCAACACATACACGACCACAACTCTCTTAATAAGAGATTTCCATCTCCACAAAAAAGCGCGCAAAAGAAATAATCCTTATGTAGGCCTTGCCAAGGGGAAAATAAGGACCAATCCGTTTTGCACTTTTTTCAAAAAACCTGTCCTCTTTTAGCAAGGGTTATTAAGCCTTACCAATGCTTATCCAAGCTTTCCAAACATTGATAGTGCTTATTTAGTCAAACATGGTCAACACATATTTGCGCACAAAACCCATGGTTTTCCATTTAGATCTGGGGGTACGAACTTTGGGGGCAGGAGCTAATTCACCTATAACAAATGGCCATCTGAAGATAGAAACCTCTGCTGTGAATGGCCAACAGTTGGAAACCACACTGGCTTCGTTTGTACAAAAAGAGAATGCCGTTGGTAGCATCCACCCATTCATCATGGAAGATGAGAGGTCCAGTCAATGGTTTCCAAATGTCCAAGGGAAGCTTTCAGCTTGCAGAGTTTCAATTTGGGGCTAAGTAGTCCAAACACCAAGGAGCCAAAAGGGAGAAAGCTGCCCTGCAAGGTCTCCACAAAGATTGAGACAAGATTTCCACGAACTAGCTCATTGAAGGCCTCCAAGTAGTCCTCTTCGTCTTCTGACATCTTCCACTTCTTCAATGTCCAAAGAACCTGTGCAGAGGCATCACTAACAATCTCCAAATCCCTAGGGCCGTAGGGGGGTTCACATAAGAAATGAACCAATTCCTGTTTGATGTACTTGAGAATCTCGGCTCCTCGTCACCAGTTGTCGCTGTGCGCATGGTATTTCTGATGGTTCCTACAGATTTCTCGCTTGAGCATCCAATGAAAAACAGAAAGGACTGTTGTGGCCGCCCAAATCTCACACTTAATATGTATAAAGAATACTTCTTGTGAGATTTGGGTGTCACAACATTCCCTTCCGATAATTTGTGTTCTTGTGAGATTTGGGTGTCACAACATTCCCTTCCGATAACTTGTGTGTTGATATCTGTTCAAGCCCCAAGGATTAATCTGGATTAATCTGGGACAAAAAAAAAAATGTTTTCAGGACTACTTGGATCAGGGCTATCTTTAGACTAGTCTCCAAAACATTGGTTTTTTTTGGTTTTTTTGGTTTTTTTGGTGTTTTTGGTTTTTTTTGGTTTTTTGGTCCCAGATTAATCCAGATTAATCCAAGCTAATCTACGATCATCAGATCTATTTAACATTTAAGTACTAACATGTGGTTGGCTAATTTTCTATATTCTCTGGTCATCTGCCTTTATTGGCTTTTAGCGCCGCTCTCTCTGTGTCTGGACTCCTGAAGCAAGTTAATCTAAGATCATCAGATCTATTTAACTACTACTTTCTAACATATGGTTGGCTGATTTTCTATATTCCCTAGTCATCTGCCTTTATTGGCTTTTAGCGTCGCTCTCTCTGTGTCTGGACTCCTGAAGCTATGGCATGTGGTTGGCTAATTTTCTATATTCTCTGGTCATCTGCCTTTATTGGCTTTTAGCGCCGCTCTCTCTGTGTCTGGACTACTGAAGCAAGTTAATCTAAGATCATCAGACCTATTTAACTACTAATTTCCAACATGCGGTTAGCTATTTTTCTATATTCCCTGCTCATCCATCAAATATAGGCCATGTCGTTTGAATCCACAAGTAAGCATTAGCACATGGAAGTTTCCTCAAGTAAGGATCCATCAAATATATACCATACTGTTTGAATCCACAAGTAAAGATTGGCACATAGAAGTTTCTTCAATTAAGGATCCATCAAGTGACCCTCCAAACAAAGCCTGAGTACTTTATGCCAGGCGCAGGTTCATGTAAAGATCATATCATTGTCTTTTTACCATTTTGGGACCAAGCATCCATAACATTTGAAACATGCTTCTTTGTTGCAGGCAAAAACCTGGGGATACTTGAAACAGTTTTGGATTTTCCATATACATTTTTCCAATAGTAGCTAGCACTTCAATCTCTATATGTTCACTGACAGTTTCCTCCAAAGATTCTTACTTGAGATTTACATGTGATGCTCTTGGATCTGTACAAATGCTTACTTGT